CTTGAGAACTGATTTGACCTGGAAGAGGTGATTAATTATTGCTCTCCTTCAACTAGTGATAGAACCTGTTAATCTGTCAGTTCTATTTGAACTGCATAGTGCGATGGACAACCGTGTGGCCAGTCAACGCAACGAAGAACTTCGAGCGTGAGATGGCGGTATTCAAGTTACTCAGTATCAACCTGATCAACTTATCTTTTTAGATGAGAGTGCTGCGAATGAACGTACTGCAGATCGACGATATGGATGGTCAAGCAGAGGATTCCCTTGTCGCATTAGAAGGCCCTGTAAACGATCTCGCAGATGGTCAATCTTACCTGCAATAAGTGTCGATGGATATCTTGATTATGATATATATCAGGGGTCCTATAATACAGAGAGGTTCAATGAGTTTGTACGTGTCCGGATACTGCCCAAATGCCAACGAGGTTATCACTACTTAGTGATGGATAATTGCTCTTCTCATCGTTCACAAGCACTGCGAGATCTCTGCAGAGAAGCTGGCATTGGACTTTTATTCTTACCTCCATATTCTCCTGATTATAATCCTATAGAGGAGTCATTTCACGCGTTGAAAGAATGGATTAGAAGATACAGATGTCAGTTAGAGAATCAGTTTGATGGAGATTTTGAAGCCTTCTTGCATCATGCAGTTGAGAATTTCATGGGAGAAGAAGATGCAAGAGGATATTTCAGATCGGCTCATATAGGATAGTATTGTAAAATTTAAAAAGATTCAGATTACAATTCAATTATGATGATATATAATATCTAAGTTTCAAATTCAGAAGCAGAAGCAGTATGAAGTCTGCTGTCATCATTACAAACAGCAGATAAAGACAATTTAATCTCCTTCAACTGTGACTGCCAGATAGAACTCTTTAACCCATTTCTTATTATCGAGAATATACCCATTCCAATATTCAACTGAACCACCTGCTCATTTGTCATTGTCCGTATATGATCCAGTTCAAATCCTTCATTCTGAATAATGCTCTTTGCAGTTAAAAGAGCTTCTGCTCTTCGAGGTCTCTCTGTCATCAACCAGTTGAAGAACTCATCAATAAACAGATCCGCGTGTTCACCAAACTGAGGGATTGGACTACTTCGAATAGGAGGCAGGTTCGGATTCGATGGCAGGTTCGGATTCAATGGCAGGTTCGGATTCGATGGCAGGTTCGGATTCGATGGCAGGTTCGGATTCGATGGCAAGTTTGAATTTGATGGCAAGTTTGAATTCGATGACAAGTTTGAATTCAGTCCTCTGTAAGAGGATAACATTTGTTGTTAATTACTAAACTAACTACGCGAGAGCAATACAATATGTTGGGGGGCACGTGATAGGGTAGCCGTAGTACCCACTTGTGGGGGGGGGTTTGGGGGGGATTCCTACCGTCTATACCACCCACGGCGCTGGGTGGTGATTGAGCTCTGTTGACCTAGTGAGCTAATACTAGCGAACAAGTCAAATTATCATCGTGACGTGGGACCTACTTTCCGACTCAGTCATCGACTCGGGGGCCGATTTGTT